TCGCTATTTCGGCACAAAGTAGATGAGATACTTCGTTTTTCACCGTGGTTTCGACGCGCGCCGTATAACGGCGCAGGCGTCGAGCGAATTGTAGCGAATAGCCTCTCTTTATAGTGTTCAGCACCCATTCTGAAACCCCGGGAAGCTTTGACCACGCATCTGCGTGAATAGCTAGAGGCAGAATGAAATCCGGGCTCTGGCCGCGACAAAACGGCAGCTCGAGAGCCTGGGCATACTGGGAACACAACACCGTGTTTACAGCGTTCGAGGCGGGGGGCGCGCTGATCACAGCGGGCGACCTGGCCGCGCTCAGCTTTTTTATGGCAGATTGTGCAGAAAAAGCGAGCGGGGGAGATCCCGTGGGAATCGGCGTGTCTGTGAGAAAATGTGGGCGCGGGGCTGCGGGCACATTTAATACACTGAAAACACTGTCGTTCATGGCCGACTGAATGTGTGTTGGTTTCGTTTTTACAGAAACCATGGGACACGCAGCATGTAGTGTGAGCGGGCATGATGACATGGGCACTTGCACTACATTGTTTGCACAATCGACCGGAGTCGATTTTATTTGTGCTAGCCCTGCACCGTGGCGGGCTGTGTTTGTGTGTGGGAATGGGCACTGGGTGGGCATTCTTACAACACTCATAACACCTTCGGCCGTGGCCGGAACACCAGAAAATGCACTCTTTATTGGATTTATCTGGGTAGCCGTAAAAACGGCTTTTGTGCGCAGGCAAACGGGCTGTGACACCGGCTAGCTCTCTGCGAAATACACTGGGACAGTCGCGATGTTTGGAACTGACCGAGCGAGAAGTTTTGGTGAAAAACCGGCCGCAGCGGGATCTGAACACCGTCGTTTTCCTAGAATGGCTAGGAAGATTTTGAGGCCTCGGGCTTGATCTCAATCCTCGGCCGGGGCCCGCGCTGAGGGGGGCGGCGTCCAGCAGAGCGAGAGCGCGGTCTTTGGTCTCGGGCGTGGCGGCGCTGTGAAGCGGCGGCGGCGGGCGGTGCAGGCTGCGGCTGAGAGCTGCGAGCAGGCGGCGGTTTAGAGCGACCTGCAGCAGAGCTCGAGCGCTTCGGGAGGAAGTGCTTCATGGCCTGCGAAGTCTTTTGCACCTCCATGAATCTATCCGCAAAGTCTGTGACGGCAGATCCGAAAAGGCCCGCTTGAGAAATGGGCGCGTCGAGGAACACAGAGCGCTCGGCTTCCGTCATCTCGGACAGCGTCAACCACAAATGTCTCTCAGCCACGGTGAGAGAGGCCATGTTTCGTCCTATGGCCTGTGCAGCGGCTTTAGTAGCGCGAAGAGCGAGGTCTGTAGCGCTTCTCAGGTCCGCGACGCAGATCGCTCCGGGTCCTTCCTCGTCCAGTTTAAGGAGAAGGTCGGCCTGGAAAATCTGCAGGATGGCCATAGTGTGCAGCGCTGAAACTGCTTGCCCGGCGGCGGTGTAAGCGCGACCGTGCATGGATGACGTCACCCGGCAGGCTTTAGATGGAAGCGTCGTGTGCACGCGCCGTCCAGCGGAGGGCGGGCAGAGATGAGACGCTACAGCTGGTTCCACAGGAGGAACAGAAAGGTATCCTCTTTCCTTCGCGCCATCCACAGAGGAGAAAGCAGCAGAAGCAGAGGTACGAAGCCTGGCGGAGAAGGGGGCGTTCCACGATTTCGTAACTTCGTCGTGAAGTTCCGGGAGGAAGGGCGCGGGCCGCGATTTCGACGGAGCCTCGTCACTTCCGAGAAAGCGTCCGTCCATTCTGTTGCGCGGCGGCTGCGCGGGCGCCTCCCAATCGAGGCCGATGCTTTCAACGGCCTGAGAGAGCAGACGCATCAGCTCAGTCTCAATGCCGGCTCTCTTACCAGTGGTCTGGCGGGAAACGCTAGCGGAGGGGAGATCCACGGAGCTCGCCCAATCCTCACTATCGGACGCCAGAAGAGAACACGCCTCGGAGGGTTCGTCAGGCTCGTGGATGGACGCGGCGGCAGGCGGCGGCCGTTGTCCGTCAGTGAGCGACTCGAGCGAAGCCGGCGAAGCAGGCGGGCGAACCGGCGAGCTTTGGCGGGCTGGAGATAGCTCGGGAGCGCGCTGGGCGCGGCGCTTTTTACGGCGCGGCGTCACGGCGGGCTGTGGTGAAGGCTCGGAGAATGATGCCAGGCGCGTCCTCAGAGTCACCATGGGCAAAAGCTCGCAATGAGGGCATCCGCCGTCAGCGAGCGCGAGAGCCGCGTGATCCTCACCCAGACAGGAAACACAGATGACGTGTCGATCTCCATCGCTGAGGGGGCGCGGCACGAGCCACAGGAAGGCATCTTTAAAAAGACGCTGCTCTTTTTGTGAGAGAAGTGTAAGTCGCGTCAAGTAAGCGAACAAACACTTCTCAACAGAGAAATACACACAGAGTATTGAAAGGATATATAACGCCGGAAAGCGCAGCAGGTACGGCAGATGAAGGCGGCGAGGCCAGCGACTCCAGAGCTCGTCCCGCTGAAAGGCTTGCTTCGACGGCGCGGCTTCTCACTCCGGATCCAGCGATGCGTGTGCTTCGCTGAAGAGGTAAAAATCAGCTTGTATCAGCCTAACGAGCATATTTATAGGGCGAGACCACGCCCCTTCTGGCGGGACGTGACGATATGGGCGCGAATTGCCCCCATTGGTCATTACGTCACGCAGAGTCTCTCTCGATAGGCTGCTGCATTTGCTGCAGAGCAACCAATAGGCGCGCGAGCTGTTTCGCCTATGTTTGCTTGCTGCTGCAAAGCGTTTTGCATTAATAAAAAATTAAAGGATAATTTTTGGCTTCAATATCTCGCGGAAAAGAGTTTTTCCCCTAGCGTAAAGCTATTACGCAGTACGAGAGATACTCTCGTAAGAGAACTACTTTCTGCGGTTATGGTCTGATCTGTCTGACCCCAGAGCAACTCAAGGATGAGCTGATCACCTTTCTGATATTATTGATTTTCTCAGAGAAGAAAGAAGCAAACTCACTGCACTTGCTGTCTGAGAGCATTTCACTGGGAATCTGGCTTGGGGGGGTTGTCAGTCTCTCTATAGTAGCTAAAAGAGTGCGTGTGTTGTTTAAGTTGCTGTTTATAATATTCGAGAAGAAGGTCTGTCTAGCTTTGCCTAGTTCAATATGAAAAGCATGGATGCTGTCTTTGTAGATGTTATAATGGACTACAAGTTTTGTCTTCCGCCACATGCGCTCTGCTCTTCTGCATTGTCTTTTCATATTTTGCACAGTTGTTGAGTTTCTCCAAGGTGCTTTTTGTCTACCACTCTTCCTGACTTTCACAGGAGCAATATAATCTATTACACCTTTAACCTTTGTTGATTTTCTCCTTGATTCTTTTAACTCAGAGTTAGCAGATATGCTTGGTTTTAAAGATATAGCCTGATGTTATTCTTTCTCTTTATCATATATATATATATATATTTTTTCTTTTTTTTTTCTTTATATGATGAAAAAGCACAGTGTCTGTCTGTATACATGCTGTGCTGTCGTGTTGTTGGCTGTGTTGTTATGTGAATATGTGGGTTGATTGTTGTGTCAATAAAGAAAAAATAAAGAAAAAGGAAAAAAAACCTTTGAAAAACAACTGTTTTACTAGAATGTCGTCAGCTGGTAGAAATTTCTTGCATATGTCTATCTCACACATATCGCAGGTGTTTACTGCATTACCTAATCTACAGCAAAAGAAAACATTTACAAGAGTTGCGAATGTGCGTTTGTATGTTGAAACCAAAGAATCTGCATGTTACAGACGTAATACTGGTTTATTCAGAATGTAGATTACGGTTTAAAAGTCGAGGGTTATATTGCATTTTAATTTTACTCGAGACAATTTAATAATCTTTGGTAAAAGTCTGCACAAAAAAGAAATTCCATCCTATCTACTTTCTAAATGCGTGTTATGGATCTATTGTGAACAAATCACACGCACATATGTTTTTGACCTTGTAATGTTTAATCAAAATTTTGTAACTGGATTGAGTGAAAATAAAAACTTCTCTCTGGTGACATGCAGGACTTGTTGCTACTTCTGTTGCATCGTGACTGTAATTTACATAGTTATTTATGGTTCCCTGATGACAATCTCCCGTACACACTACACAACAGTGGGGAGTGGGCGGACCCCAATCGCTGTCCTGACAAACTCTACACAGAGCTCAGCCTCAGTTATCGCATGCAAGCCTGGTTTTCATAACTGATGTGTGCGTGGTGGTAACGATTCCACTGTCTAATCCAGGAACCATGTTTGAGAACTTTGAGAGCCTTGGTGGAAGAGTGGGGTAACATCTCGATGTCTGCTACAGTCCATGAGGATGAGATGCTCTGTGGAACTTAAAGCAGCTACTGGCCAGATATGACACCAGATATGACTGCTTATTTTGATATTGTTCAGGGACTCATTGTTCCATATCTTTTCCTCAAATGTCTGTGGAACTTGTTTAGTTTATGTTTTTATACATTAAGACATTTTCTGGAAATAATAGCAGTTGGAAGTTAGAGGACATTACTTTTTTTTACCGAGTTTAGTTCTGTATGACTTTCCTTTTTTGGTCATTATGTTTTTGATAACACAGATGCAACATGACTGATGAACGTGATTAAGCATAAAGCACATAATATCTACATTTACCAGTACATTGAGGATTTATGCAGCTTGCACAGTTTATTTAATGAGCTAATTTAATACAATTTATGAACATTGTGTCAATTTATTTCAATGTGTGTGGAAAAAAGTTTAACTAATTGTTAAAATTGAACATCAATTGCAGAAAACATTCTCTCTGAAATAAGCTACATACTAAGATACATGTAGTGTAAATTATAAATATAAATCCTACAAAGATAATCATATCCTTTATGAGTGACAGCTTTACCAGTTTAATTACAATTTATGCTCTGTAAAAATATCAACCAGAGAGGATGCTGGCTGAAATATTTTCAGAGTTAAGATGTGTTTAACTGTCTTTTTAAACCAGGGATAAAATATAGCTTATACCAGAGGATTCAGACCTGAGTTTGAGTACACAACCCATGCGAAAACAGTTAGGATTATGTCAGAGTTTACAGATACAGAACATATAAAGAACGGAACAAAGCAAAGCAGATAAACTATCACAATGATTCCTAATGTTAGAGCAGCTTTACTCTCAGATTTCCTCCTCAATACACCTTCCGTTAAACTTTTACCACCCGTCATCAGAGAGTTTATAACTTTCACTTGCTGATGTACTACATAAAATATCCTCAAATATAAAGTTATGAGTAGGGTACATGGAAAAATAAAAGACATGACCATATCAGTGACTAAGGAGGCAAATCCAAACGTAACATAACACTCTCCATAACACATGTTTGAATATCCATTATAAATTACAACTGTAACATTATAAGTTAAACAACAACCCCAGCTCAGACAGATGGTTATTACAGTTTTAGTTGTGGTTATTTTCTGTGGGTACTGTAAAGGGTGACACACAGCCACATAACGATCACCAGCAATTAAAATTAAATGAAGTTTTATGTAACAAAGTTCGGGAGGAGCATGTTCAGGTAATCATCCAATCAGCACAAGAAGAAGCCAGTATAAATAAAGCCTTCCCTTACCTCCTGTCTCATGACTTCTTTCTCAGCATCTGACTCCGCCTCCGTGCAGGCATGTCCGAGTTAGAGCTCTTCCCCTCCGACGATGAATCTTTCATCTCGGAGTCATCTCATCCGCAAAGCGCAGATCCAGCAACTCTTCCTTCCCCAGCAGCCAACGTCAACATCGAGCCTCCATCTTCAACCAGGGGACGTCGGCCCTCCAGATCCTCTCCGCATACCCCAAGACGCCGTAGACTCCCCTCACCACCGCCAGCGAGGATCTCATCATCTTCATCATCGTCTTCCTCCGCGCCTTCCCACCTTCCAGCTCCCCCTAACATCCCCCCAATAGGGAAGTGGACGGTCAAGGGGCTAAGACAAGCCCTAATTAATTCTGATGCAAATTTCTCCCGCAGGATGAAAAAAGCAGAATTATTTAATTTATATGTCACCTTACAATCTTCTCACCCTTCTGTTTCAGCTCCAATTCCTTCAGCTCGAGCGAGCAAGGCTCGACGGGCCCCGATCGCAGCACTGGGCTCCGCCCCCACGCCACGACGTCTCAGACCTTCCGCTAGCCTGGGCCGCGCCCCGGAACCAGTCACGGTCGAGCGCCAATCTCCTCCAGGTCAACTCCTCTCCTCAGCCCCGCCCATCGTGGTACCTCACACTTTAGATCCTGGCAGTTCCACTTTCTTACACGATCCCCAATCGGGTTTCTTCCCTTCTACTTCTTTCAGTTTTCCTCCTTCCCAAGCGTCAGGTGCTCACCCTAACGTGAGGATGCCTCCGTTAGCCGGTCAATCGCCGGCGCATTTCTTTCCCCTCCCCTTTCCACACTATGCTCTCCCTATTCCTCCTCCTCCATCTAACCCGGGGGCCGATCTCCGCGTGAGGATGCCTCCGCAAACGGCCACAGCCCCGATTTCCCATCCCTTTAACCCTCTCCAAGCGCGTTCTCCTTTCTCGCTCTTTTCAGCCATTCCTCAACCAGTCCCTCAGAATGCAGTAGCTACTGAACCTCCTCCAGTGACGAACAACATCAGAGCTCAAATCTTAGCAGGTGCAGACGTTGATTTGGGTTCTCTCCTGTCCTTGTTTCCTCCGGCTGAGTCCAATCGCCAAGTAGACTGTGGCGACATTTCAGTCACTCTAAAAAATAACGCACAGGTTACATCACGTACATTGTCACTAGCCGAATTCTGTATAGCCTTCAGCCGCTATACAGAAGTCATATGCTCATCTTTTCCCCACAGACGGCGCGAGCTGAACGACTATCTGTCTATTATAGCTGAGCTCGCGTTGTCTTACGGGGGTAGTCACTTTTATACGTACCACAAGCTGTTTTCCGCAAAATGCGCCGTCCGCGTTTCCCAGTGGAATCAGTGTCCCTATTGGGGAGCGTTGGACACCGATCTCCATAACCGAGTCTTCCTCGGGTGCAAAAATATCTCCTGCGCAATCTGCAGATCCATAATCCATGCCACCACGGCATGCCCCCAGATCAATCCATCGATCCCTCCCTGCCCAGAGCAGAATGCCATAAAATCCACAAGTTACGTTCCGCGCCACGCAAGAGAAGATTTTTCAATCAGAGCACCATACTCGGCACCCGATAGACAAGTTTGTAGGAATTTCAACGAAGGGAGATGCCCAAGACAACGCTGTCGTTTTCTCCACGTCTGCGATTTCTGCGGCGGCGCACACGCCCGCGTGATATGCCCAGTTAAAAAATCTGTCAATAAAAATGCAAAAAACTATCTCTCGACTCCTGTGAATGTTTTCCGTCTAGCCGAAGAATTATCACACCACCCTGATGTCAACTTCACAAATTATCTATTGACAGGTCTCAATCAAGGCTTTAAACCCGGCGTAGAAAGCTATCCCACGCAAAATGTTATCTGCGCTAACCTTCAGTCCGCCTTAGCAGAGCCTGGAGTAGTAAATAAGCTAATTAAAAAAGAAATCGAATCCGGTTTCATGATGGGTCCTTTCGAGGCTCCCCCGTTCGACAAATTTCGCATCAGCCCCATAGGCGTGGCCACCAGGAAATTCTCTGGGAAAAAGCGGTTGATAATCGACCTTTCAGCCCCCCATAATTCTCCATATCCGAGTATCAATAGCCTCATCCCTCTCGAAGAGTATTCTCTCAATTACCACGATATCGAACAAGCCATAACCATGATTAAAATAGCTGGTCGAGGTGCATGGCTAGCAAAAGTAGATATCTCCTCTGCTTTTAAAGTAATGCCAATCCACCCCGATTCATGGCACTTGTTCGGTGTAAATTGGCAGGAAAAGTATTATTTCGCCGTGCGCCTAACTTTCGGCTGCAAAAGCAGCCCAAAAATCTTTGACACTCTCTCCGAAGCCATATGTTGGATCCTTTCTAATAATTACGCAATTCCTCATCTTCTCCATCTGCTCGACGATTTCCTAATAATTTCACCCCACGACACCGTCCCCGAAGCTCACCTCCTCATAGTGAAAAAAGTTTTCGCCGAACTAGGGATTCCGTTAGCTCACGAGAAAACATCGGGTCCAACTACGTCCATCGAGTTTTTAGGCATCAATCTAGACTCAGCAAAATTCCAAGCCTCACTGCCTAAGGAAAAAATCGATCGCATTATTTTAATCGCATCCAATTTTACTGACAGCACAGATTGTGCAAAACGCGAACTTCTCTCGCTGCTGGGCCACCTAAATTATGCGATGCGCATTATTCCACAGGGCCGACCCTTTATCGCGCATCTCCTAGCCCTCTCTTCATCCGTTCATGCGCTGGAAGATCGGATCAACCTCTCCGACGAGTCAAAAAACGAGCTTAAGTTATGGATTAATTTCCTTAATCAGTGGAATGGCTTAACTTTTTTCTATGATGACTTTATCTCTCTCCCCCTCGATATCAAACTGTTCACAGACGCAGCTCCCTCGATCGGCTTCGGCGGCTATTACCAAGGACGCTGGTTCGCGTCCTCCTGGCCCCCCCAGCTCCTAGACACACCCCAGTCTTCAGCCTCCTCTGCCCTTTTCGAGCTCTACCCAATAGTCGTCGCAGCTTCCCTATGGGGAAAAGAATGGTCATCCAAAAGTATCCAAATCCATTGCGACAACGAAGCAATCGTGTACTGTATCAACAAAGGTCGTTCTCGCTCACCTGCGCTTATGCCACTCCTTAGACGCCTCATTTGGACCTCCGCATGCGACCAGTTCTTAATAACTGCAATCCACGTCCCAGGGGCTCAAAATCAAATCGCTGACTCTCTCTCCCGTTTCTCGTTTCAGAAGTTCAGGATGCTGGCACCAGAAGCAGACCCCACTCCAACTCCAGTACCTCCTTATTCTCAGCTGATCTTCCCATAGATCATCCGCTAAAATCCCTCCTGGACACGTCCATCGAATCCATCCTCCAAGCCGTTTCTCCCAGAACCCTGCAAACTTATTACACCGCATGGAAATCGTTCAAATCATTCCACCTCTCTCACAACCTGTCGTTTCCCGAATTTTCGCTTCTAACAGTTACTTCATTCATATCCCATCTTCACAGTTTTAAAGGTCTCCAAGCCGGATCCATTAAAAGCTATCTAAGCGGCATTCAATTTTTCCATAAATTAATCCACGGTAAACCTACACCTGCAATAAATAACTCCCAAACGTCCCTTCTAATTAAGGGAATCCAAAGATCCCGCCCCACGCGCCCAGATACCAGACAGCCAATCACAATCGATATACTCACCAGATGCATCTCATCACTCCGTCTTGGATACCACTCCATCAATACCGCATATACGTTAGAGGCCATGTTCATCCTAGCATTCTTCGGTTTCCTCCGCAGTTCCGAACTGACCATAACTTCCTTATTCGACCCAAATATCCATCCCGCAATTTCAGACCTTCAGATCGTAGATAACGAAACCATATCATTTTTCATTAAACAAAGCAAAACGGACAGAGACAAAAGAGGCCACTTCGTCTATATTTTCAATCTTCAAACTCCCATCCGACCGTACCATGCGCTTTTTAATTACCTGCAGTACAAACTTTCCTCGTCCAAATCCCCACTTGACCCTCTTTTTACTAACGACTCCAATCATCCAGCTACGAGATTCTGGTTCCAAAAACATCTAAAAGCAATCCTTACCAAATCCGGCGTCTCAGCAGAGCATTTCTCTAGCCACTCATTCCGCATCGGAGCAGCCACCACAGCTGCTCAAAAAGGTCTCTCCCAACAACAAATCAAAACCCTCGGTCGCTGGTCATCGGATGCCTTCAAAACCTATATTAGGTCTAGCCGTTTTTTCATCAAAAATGCTCACCAAGCCCTAACTAATTAATTAAATTACCACCTGCTGCTCCCCTTTTCAGTTACATCCGTTTACACCTTCCGATTACATCTGGGCTCGCCGCTTGCACACTCGCTCAATATTCATAAGGTACGTTTTTCAATCACATGCAGACTCCCCCGTTCGCACGCAGCGATGACTCACCCGTTCGAAGGCCGGGTTCCGTCCCCCTTCCAAAACGCTGGTTGAAACCTCCCGTTCGAATTGCAGTGAGAGTCTGCCCGTCTTAGTCGTCGCCGGACGTCCGCGCTCGTGTCGCCAGGAGGGCTCCCCATTCGTCGGGACGTGAGGAGTCTTTCCCGTGACCCAGCCCCCCCTTCGAAGCGCCGGTCGAGCCCTCCCGACCGAGTCCAGCGGGCGCCCTCCGTCCAACCCAGCGAGGCTTACCCGTCCTATGCCGCGAGCATATAAGTTCCCGTCGGACGCTGCGAGAGCTCTCCTGGGTGAACGGTTAAATTCGTCCACAAATTCACGCTCGCATAATTCCTGCGTCAGCGAGCTGTCAGTTCAACTGCAGAATGGGCTTATCCGACCGATGCCGTGAGCATCCAAGTTCCCGTCGGTCGTCGCGAGAGCCTTCCCAGTCGAACTGGCAAGCTCGTTCCTTGGTAAACACATACCCTTCACTTTTTGGGGGGTTAAATTCTACGCTCGCTGTCCTCCGTTTATCTGGCATTTTGGGGAGTACTCTGGGGTCGGGCCGAATTCTGAGCTCGGAGCCCTCCCCCCGGACAGCAAGCCAAATACGCATTATTATATTACATCAGATTTCATTAACATGTAAACTCGTGAAATCAAGTTTTATGTAACAAAGTTCGGGAGGAGCATGTTCAGGTAATCATCCAATCAGCACAAGAAGAAGCCAGTATAAATAAAGCCTTCCCTTACCTCCTGTCTCATGACTTCTTTCTCAGCATCCCTCCACCACCCCTTCACCCCACATTGGGCGGGGTCCGCTCATAGATACCTATGACCTCTAAGGTTAGGGGGGAGTACTCTGGGGTCGGGCCGAATTCTGAGCTCGGAGCCCTCCCCCCGGACAGCAAGCCAAATACGCATTATTATATTACATCAGATTTCATTAACATGTAAACTCGTGAAATTAGTGAAAGATGCTGAGAAGACCAATCCAAAGATTATAGTAAACAGTACACAGAAAGTGTCTCCAAAGTACCAACACTTCTCAGTCAGTCTAATGCCCTCTATGGGTATCACAATAAGTCCAATAAGCAGGTCGGCCACAGCCAAAGAGAGAATAATCAGGTTTGTTGGAGTGTGAAGCTTCTTGAAGTGAGAGATGGAGATTATCACCAGCATGTTCATAAACACGGTCCATGCTGACAGTAATGAAAAACACACATAAATAATATAGTATTCATATCTAGAGCGCATTCCCTTGATACATGATGAGTTGATGCCAGGAAAGCAGTATTGAGTCTCATAGTCCATGAGTGAGTCTCCTCATGTTAGGGGTTTGTTCTGCTCTCTTTATTGTCATATAATTTATACAGTGTGGATCAGACGGCCAACCCATCTACCGCCCACTGATGATGTAACATACAAACGTTTTTTTATTATTATTATTCATTTTTAAATCTTTTTTTTTAACATTAGCTTTGATATGCAATTAATTTCTTCAGTGAGACACAGGAAACAGAAATACTGCAAAATAATAATAATATTATTATGTTATAAAACGTTATAACATTTCGTCTTGTCTCGTTTTAGTCAACAAAAATGAAGACATTTTAGCATAGTTTTATTTTGTAAACCACATTCAGGCTCGTTTTTATTCGTCAACAATATTGCATTATACATTTATTTATAGTCATCGTCACATGACCAGCATTTACAGTACGTTGCGTCTCGTCTCGTCACGTGATAAAGGTTTGTTGATGACGATATTTAGTCATAATTTCCGTTGACGAAATCAACACTAACAGAAAGACAAACATTAGCGTAGATGCCATTCTTCGTATAATGTAACAAGTACATCGGGTTTTATAGGAAGTGCTCCCGGTTCCAGCCATGATATATGCAGCCTAATAATCATTTAACTGATTTGAATAATAGGAATGTATAATACTCTATTTGTATGCCAGGTTAAAGAGATGTGTTTTTAGTCTAGATTTAAACTGACAGACTGTATCTGCTTCCCAGACAATGTTAGGAAGACTGTTCCAAAGTTTTGGTGCTAAATAGGAAAAGGATCTACCGCCAGCAGTCGATTTTGATATTCTAGGTATTATCAACAGGCCGGAATTTTGAGATCGCAATAGACGTGAAGGACTATAATGCGTTAAGAGCTCGCTCATGTACTGGGGCGCTAAACCATTTAGTGCTTTGTAAGTAATCAGCTATATTTTGAAATGTATACGATGTTTATTAGGGAGCCAATGCAGTGTTGACAGAAAGAATGCAGTTTTACAGAAACGTGGCTTTCAAATAAAAGTAGTAGGAAATTACTAGTTATCCAAATGTTATCCAAACTAGTTATCCTAGCCCACAGTGAAAACTAATCCCATGCTTCCTAATGATATCTACCAAGGGTAGCATGTACAGAGTGAACAGCAACGGTCCTAGTACTGAGCCTTGTGGTTCTCCATACTGAACTTTTGATCGATATTACATCTCTTTGTTTACTACTACAACCTGAAATTTAAATAATCAAAAGAAATAAGAACAATTAAAACCGTTTAGAATAAAAAATAAAATAAAATACAGTACAAACAGTTAGACGAACAGTGGCACGGTGCTCATTCATTAAATGCACAGCTAAACAGATGTGTTTTGAGTCTGGATTTGAATGTGACTACTGTAGGAGCACATCTGATCTCCTCTGTGTCACAGTCATCGTCTGCACCATCCTGTCTTCACCATCCTGTCTTCGTCTTCACTACACTTCCCAGAATCATCCTTGTCTCCACACCTGAACTCACTCCCTCATTACCAACCTGTTTATCATCATCATCTGTGTCACCTGTCCTCACCTCGTTAGTGTTCATTTGTATCTGGATTTAGTTTCCCTCTGTTCAGTCAGTCCTGGTTGGTTCTCGTTTATGTAAGGTGTGTTTGTTACCTTGTGTTCTGAGTGAGTTACCCTTCTGCCCGTCAACCTGTCTGTACCTGTTTGAAAGATTTATGAGTTAATATTTGAATTGTAGCCTTTTGGACTCAGCCTCTTCTTCAGCATGCACCACACCCGTAACAGAAGAACCGACCTTCCAAAATGAACTGGGCTGAAGACAAGCTCCTCACCATTCAGCAGAACGGACGGCCTTTGGAGCGGTATGTGGAGGGGTTCCTGTATGTTTCCCATCTGGTGAGCTGGGATGATGCTATGATTAATGCCTGCTTCCGGATGGGACTGGATGATGATCATTTATTCCGATTCCTTTCTCCTGGTGATTGTTATAGTTCAGTTACAGACTTTATTAACTATGTCCTTGATTTAAATGTTTCAGATTTCTTTGTTGATATAGCTAATGAAGACAATCAAAATCATCATTCAATCCCTATCCGAGAGCATGTAGGCGTTCCAGTTCACCCTAAGCCAGCACACTCCACATACCTTTCAAGGGTTCCATGCCCTCCCGCCCACCCGTGTTTCCCCGAGCCCGGAAGAAAATTTCGAATAGCATGGACCTGGGGGCAAAATTGGCGGATCCTGCATTTACGTCCGTCCGGTCAGCGCTGAAATCAGCTTCCCTTCTCCGGTTCTCAGCCCCAGGTTTTACTCCAACCACCAGCCCAAAGCCTTCATCGCTGGTCCCGTCCATCCCAAGGCCTTCATCGCTGGTCCCGTCCAGCCCAGAGCCCTCACCGCTGGTCCCGTCCAGCCCAGAGCCCTCACCGCTGGTCCCGTCCAGCCCAGAGCCCTCACCGCTGGTCCCGTCCAACCCAGAGCCCTCACCGCTGGTCCCGTCCAGCCCAGAGCCCTCACCGCTGGTCCCGTCCAGCCCAGAGCCCTCACCGCTGGTCCCGTCCAGCCCAGAGCCCTCACCGCTGGTCCCGTCCAGCCCAGAGCCCTCACCGCTGGTCCCCTCCAGCCCAGAGCCCTCACCGCTGGTCCCGTCCAGCCCAGAGCCCTCACCGCTGGTCCCGTCCAGCCCAGAGCCCTCACCGCTGGTCCCGTCCAGCACAGAGCCCTCACCGCTGGTCCCGTCCAGCACAGAGCCCTCACCGCTGGTCCCGTCCAGCACAGAGCCTTCACTAAGCCTGATTCTTCTGTTCCTGAGCATGTCCTTGAGCCTGTCACTCCCCCCAAGAAATTTTTTTTGGGGGGGAATATAGGTCCCCGGCCATTGGGGCCAGGCCTGACTCCCACGGGACTCTCCCGAAGGGTCATCTCAGCCATGGCCACCCGAAGGGTGGTTTTGGCACATCCAACTGTTTACTTCATCAATGCATTGACACAGGGAGTCAATGGGGCTGTAGTCATTAGGCCAGTGTTTCTCAAACTTTTTGTAAAAACAAACAAAATTTAAAAAGAATAATAATAATCTCAGGGTTTTTCCTGGCTCAAAACGAGGCGGAGGTGGTAAAATCCTAATAATGTACGTATTTTAGGTATTTTTATAATAATAATTGTATTTTGTATTTTTCGAAGACTATCATATAAGCTACTGTTTCCCACAGTATTTTGTGTGTGGTGTGGACCTCTGCACCCCTAGTAGGCCGCTGTCGGTAGCCTAAAAGAGGCCTAGAAATAGGGTTTCGTTCCACCACGTGGGGCACTACCTACTTTTTTTATATTTAACATCAGAAATATATAGAGATTCCTGCAGTTCTCTGAACATCAGAAAAAGTTCTCTGCACACAACCTTGCAGTTTTTGAGAAAAATGATGCTAAAGGTGCCCATTTTGAAATAAAGGGAAAACATAGGGAATTTTGCACTTTCAAACCGGTTTATCATATAAACCCAAAAATGCCGAATTACCACTTGAGGTACAAAATAAACCAGTTTAAAATATGTGATATACCTGAAGTTGCAATCTAGGCACAGTAAACATGATAAGATTATCAAGAAAACTTCTACTGTAGCATTAACATCCCAATTACTTCTCATTATGTTGTTCCAATTCAAAGGTAATATTTGAGGTAAAATCTGAATTACAAATAGAATTCAGCCAATATATATATATATATATATATATATATATATATATATATAGGCTATATATATATTAAAAAAACACTTTTCAAAATAACGCATTTAATGGTGAATTGTCAATTCGCATACACGAGAAGTAACTGCACTGCATGTACACATTTTTTACATGATATACTTAAAACAATTATGGTAACAATATTACACGTATTATATTTGAGTAGATTTTGAGGGTTTTTTTAGTGTGAAATCTACCCAAATAAATTAAGTAAAATTTCCTAAATGATTTAGTCTATGGCACATGATGCATTTAATATTATTAGTGTGGAATGTGCTTTTTTAATATAAGTTGTCTCAATAATAAATTAAGCAGAATTTACTCGTTTGTATTAATGAAATTGAATTAATTATAACATTTACTGCATTTTTCAGGTTAAGATAATAATGACTTCATAATGCACTTTTTGTTATCAAACATGCTTTTATTCTGTATTTTTTTGCACAAATAAAACAAATCTATATAAAATGTAAGACAGCAGTTTTAAGATATGAAAAATAAAAGCAAAAAAATGCTAACATTTTCCATGTAATTGAGAAAAATAATTTTGTTACACAAAAACATGTGCATACAAATTTATGTTGGAAAAGTCACATTCTTGACTAAAACTTGTGAATAACTTGTAGCAAAACAAATCATTTGTACTTGCTGAAAGCTTGTAGAACAATATTAAACGTTCATCAATCAATGCAGTTTTTTTTTTCCAGAACTTGGTCATAATGCATTGTCTCAATCTAAGTCATGAGTTTGTTTTTAAGTGTTAGTAATTTCGGGGAAAACTTGCAAACATCCAGTTCCAAGAAGAGCTTCTGAAAGGCCTCAAAAGTGTGCCTCAGTTCTTTCGGGTAGGTGAGGTTTAGTGCATACGTGAGTCCAAGAAGAACAGCACAGGCCTGGTCAGATTTTCCAAGCCAGCCATGACTTGCATCCCCTCCAAGATGATGCTGAAATCCTCCTGAGAATCCCTCTTGCAGATGGCAATTTTCATAATGTGCTACAGGATATCTCCATTGTCACACTGTAAAACAAACATTAAAGAAGTATTTTTATCTCGTCTGTCTCATTATAAGTCTGTCCATAATTATAAACTTGATTTGTGTACGGTTGTAAAAATTTCTTATAACAGCTTAAAATGCTAAGACACCATTATAGTTTATTTTCTTTGTAATCACTGAAACCACAAAGACCACCACTTTGCGGACCACAAAGACTGTCACAATAACATAAGTACAGTTTCACCAATGACAGAGGGTGTATTCAGGAAGAAAAAATTAAATAAA